CTGTCATACTCCTTCAACATCATCACAGACTGCGCTGTGATCTGATGATGCTTCCTTTCTCCCTTTGTATTAGTCTCGTGTTCCTCTAACAAGGACTCCAATGAGTTTTGCGCAGTATACATGTTAAACTTAAAGCCATGTAGGAGCTTTTCGTCTGAGATTAATTTAAAATGCTGAAATCACTATTGACTGTTGGTGCGCTTTTAAATCTCCCTGGTGGCGCTTTAATGTGACCCAGTGCACCGTTTTGTTATGAACGAGTTCTGTGATTGCATCCGCATTCATCAGGCTGTTCAATTGAAAAGCATTTCAACCATATGAGGCAAACAGTCCCTTTTAATCCCAATGATTTAATTTTGCATTACAGGACCCAGACCCTGTCCTGATCATATCAGTTCATACAGCTAAAAAACGTTTATGACTTTTGTTGGCATAAATAGTAGATCCATATTTTAAGCTGAGATACAGTCAGTGTCTTTCAAACTTTTAAAAGGCATGTAAGCCTGATGAGGATACACTGGAATCTGACCTATTACTATAGTTACCTATATATAGACTCATGCAAAACAAAGGTTACATGTATACCCTTAACAAATCAGAATCAGAATCCGCTTTATTGGCCAGGTGTGTTTGACACAGGAGGACTTTGACTCTCTGGTACAGTGGCATGTGATACCCTGAAATGCCCTGAAATGTGCTGTTGACCCCAGTGAATGGAATTAGTTAAGAAAAAAAGTCCCAAAGAAGTATTTAGAGAGAATATTTGAAATTTAAAACAGGTCAAGCTGGAAGTTAAGAAGGAAGCAGTGAGCATATTAAATCTTTTTATGGGCTTCTTCCCTTTGCTGTAAGACTTTCCAAAGATTTTAGAAAGTTTTTGCAGTTTTAACAGGTTCTTGAAGTTGGACTGGATCCTTGTTGATTTGTCTAAACAATGATTTTATACCCTATAGAATTACTTTCAGTTCTTTTTTGAACCTTGTGACAGTTAGTTTTAAATTATATTAATTCCCATGGCAGATAGACCCCTGACAGACGCTGCTACCACCTCTAGCCCGATCTTGACACGTATTCACCCCTGCAGCCACACACATGCACTCACAAACACACACCTAATGCTGTTAAGGTATGGAAGTGATTATGCATGATAATGGAGCAGCCAAAAGCCCCCCGGGGGATCCACAACAGACCTAAGCCTGACACAACAAACACAATTAGTAGGCTGCAGAGGGAAGCTGGGTTATATCTGTGGATGTGTGTGCATGTGGGGGGTACGGGTAGACATGAACATATGATTTGCATATGTGCATGAATCTTTATGCATTTGTTTACATATACATCTGTGTTTCTGCATCTGTTTGTTTGTGTATTGAGACTGTGTTTCTTGCTTTCTTATGTGTGGATCTGAACAATGAAGCCCATACCCCTTCCATCCCACAAAGCTGGTGTGACCTCCCAGGACTGTTGGCTTTTACACAGCAATCCCCCAAAGACATTTACACCATAGGAAAATAAATAATTCGAGCAGGCTGTGATGCAGAGGTGGGATAACGGGGTCCCCTGACTCTTGCTGGGTCCCTGGGGTGGAATTTTTGGGGTAGCAATGCCCCCTCCCACTGCATTCACTCCAGAAACTATGTGTTTATGTTTCCCTGATTTATCCAGGTCAGTGTTTCAGCTGTGACTTTGGCCAAGAATTGCTCTTTTCCTCCCTCTTTCTCTCCCTCTCTGCCTGCCTCCATCTCCCTTTCTCTCAGCAGATATATTTTAGGGCGTTCTGGATGGGAAATATTAAAATGGATTAGATTCCAGTTTTAAAGGTCATGGCAGATGGGAAACTTTTTAAGAAAGCGAGATGAGCATTGTTACCCTGAGAAGGGATTTCAGTTTGGTTAGTCAGATAAAATCCATGCAAACAACAGATTCTATTAACTAAAGTGCCATCTTTGATTTCTGAGTAAAAACATGGTGATTTCTGGCAGAAAGGTGTCCACAATGGTCTTAAAAAAGTTTAAAGTATTACATGATCAGTGATTTTGTGGCCGCTTGTTTTTGTTATACATTGTATGTGGTGGCCTAAGGTAGAAAAGAGATGGAAAACACTACAACGGAGCAGAACACTGATAAGCTCTTCATTTTTAGCTACTGATAACTCACTGTGAGGCTAATAGTTAATCTGATATGTAATTCTGGGGTATAACTGAATTCCTCTTGGCAGCAAAAAACTGGAAATCAACATTTAATTTAAGCGATGAGTTAGAAATATATTTAGATGTATTGAATCTTTTACAGATGTTTCTTGGCAGTAAGATGTTCAGAATGGTCAAAGGCAATGTTGAGGTAACTGGTTGGACATTGATATGCATCAATTTGTGTAGCAAAATAGTGCACAAGGACACATGAGCTTAAAACAATAGTCATGTTTTCAGCATCAAATGCTCACAGCATGTAGACTTGAAAGACGACTCTGAAAAGTTGTAGATTTTTCCTGGATTGAAATTTTAATCGACTTAGTCTCACAACAGTTAGAATAGATTCCAAGAGTCGTAGTGAAAAGAAGGTCAAATCAAAAAGTCCATAGAAATCACTTTTTTAAAACCATAATAACAACTCTGCATATTTTGGCCAGAATATTGCCAAGACACATTTCTATTGTGGTTAACTGTCCAAATTTGTCACACACAACTCGGTTTGCTTATGTTGGTTGCGAATGTCAAACAGAACAGGAAACTATTTTTAGCCGTAAGTAAAACCTGCCTTAAATTTAGCTGCTTGAAAAATTCTAGTGGTGATCCATGCGTTTTACCGTTTTGTGCTTTACTTGTGTTTCATGCTGAAGTGATGGCAGCTCACAAACTCAAATGGGAGAAGTGACTTTTAAGACTCACCTTTATGGAGAAATGTTCAGTCACAGGGTTTCTCATTGTAGGAGAATCTCACAGGAGTCTCACCGCGCCAGAATACTACGCAACAAAACCGCACAAGACTGCAGGACAAAATGCTCGCCTTATCTTGACTAGAAAAACTTTTCCAGCTGCTTCTCTTCCTTTTTCACTTTCTCCTGCTGCATATACCAAATCAAACAATTTCAGACTGTGGAGGTTACTGAAAGCAAATAGAATTTAAGTTCAGAAGAAGAACAGGACTCAGTTTGAGGGAAATTGGGTGCAACAAATGATTGAATAACTTCAGGATACACTAATACACACACTGAAAAGGTAACAACTGGTAGACATTCTCTTTTAAAGGACTATAGCTGAAGGCAGGAAATCAGTAAGGATGGAAAATGGTTGACGCTGTAAAGCATGCAGACCATTAGTACAATCCTTTAAATATTAGAATTAGTGCCTAGTTGCTCTTCATGTTACACACAGTGTAACTTTGAATCTAGTTCACTGCCACCACTTCCAGAAACAAAAGGTGAGTGTAATATTCAGAGGCAGACTCCTGTCATAACTACAGAATGAACCTCTTTAAAAGCCCTGTTTTCTTTACTATTGTAAACAGCATTTCGGAAAGGTTAACAAGAGAAAAACAGTGGTGGCCTCAACTGTTCACTCAGCACACACAGACCCACACACACACACACTCACAGGCAGTCTCGCAGATTACTTCAGGCCAGTCAATTCCATAATGTCCTCCTTGGGAAGCCACTCGAGACCTCATTTGCATCTAATTTGAGTGGAGGGTTTTGGGGTGAGGCTTAACAGGCTTAACGAGGCTGGATAAAATGAATTGGAAAACAGAGATGGCTTTTCTCTCCTGGGTCCAATTCACACCTGCCCTACAGGGACTGTGTAGACACACACACACACACACACACACACACACACTCACACACACCCTGGAGTGCTGATTTTTAGAGCTGTTACCCCAGCTGCTGAGGGGGACTTTCACTTGTTTGAGCTGCAATCAGTATATTTTTGTGTTAAAATGTCTGAGTATTAGCTCTATCAAGTTTTATGTGTGTAGAATGTATGATCGCATCTTTATATAAATGCGCTGTGGGTTGGATGGAATATGTGTGTGTTCTCAGTTGAACAAGTTCACCGCTGGAAGCAAGAAACTTCCAGAGCCAACTTTCGCTCGGGCACTTTGAGGACACTTTGTCAAGTTTGTGACCTCCACCTCCCTCTCCAACATACACACACTCACACACACCTTCGATTTGCCAGCAGTGTCTCTCCAGTAGAGTTTCCACAGCTCCCATTTCCTCTCAGCATGCCAACCTACAGTACAATGGTGTGTATAGCGATAGGATCCTGCCACTGTGTGCGTTTGTGCAAGCAAGCATCAGTGAGTGTGTGTGAATGGATACACACTCACCCGCGTTCCTGCCTCTGCTTCTGGCTCTTATCAAAGCTTTGTGTTGATTGGTCAGTGGATGGTATAACCACCACACCCTCAGCTACGAAACGGCATTCCATGGTGGGACTGGAATTTTTTTGTGCGTGTGAGCTTTGAACATTGCATTTTTAACCTGTGCATGGAACAGACCAGCTAATTTGTGCTCACATAGTTCCTGTCCTCTAAATTTTGAGTATTTTGATTCGATCAAGAACAATCTGTAATCACTGAAGTACTCGGGTATTCACTTTGGTTTTGGCAAAGCTCCTTTCAGGTGTGGCCTGAGCCTGATGTCACTGCAAATAATATTGTGTTGTATACAACTGCTAGTCACACCCAGACTGTCTGATATGTCAAAGATGACCTCCAATTGTGTTGATACTTCCCGTGAATCCCTGCTAACCATGTGTTTAGCTTGTGTAGTACTTCTTTATAGGTACACTACTCTGAGGACAGCTTCAGTCAGAACACATGCTTTGGTAAATGTTATCGTGGATATGAGGGTGATGAAATGCAGCTGAGTGTTATTGGTCTAGTATAAAGTCTAAGAAGTAAAAACCACAATGAGCTTGCTATTCTCATATAGCCTCTGAATGACACGCCTATCATCTGTGGCCATCTCATTGCAGCAGTTTTGCTCCCTTCTAACTATGACTGACTTGGTTATGGCATGCCAAATAGCACAAATGAAGGGTAACTGATATTTAAGCTTTAGTTCTAGGTCAGTGGGTGATGTTCTCTTCTCCTAGTTTCTCCAGCATGCAGGGAATTGACCTTTATATATAATGACTTCTGTCTGCCAATGAGGCAGCTAGCAGTGACCATGGCACTACCCTTCTGGCAAATGGAGCAAGGTGGATGCTACTTTAGAAGACAAACGGGATAAACTGGGAGTGAGTGCACCTGAAATTTGATGACCTTGATGGCCAAACTATGAAGACCCAGGTTATATGAAACCAGAATTTTTTTGCAGCCATCAAACAACTCTTCGAAGTAATGAAGACCAGCCAAAATATTGTCACCCACAAGGTTGAAAAATGGGTTCACACCCACAGACAAATCATTCATATTACAAATGAAAATACAGTAGATGTACATGCATGGAAGCACATGGGAGAATTTAGGTATGTAGCCACACTCATGCAGTGTACACTCATCATTATGCAGGCACAGGCTCACATACACACAGTACACCCTTGCTTTCACTGGACTAAACACGCAGTTGTATGGAAACTTTGACATATCACAAGAGAGGAGAGAGAGACTGTGTCACATAAAAAATACCCCAAGTCACAAATGACCTTCTGTGATTTTTCTGCTGAAGCAGAAGCCAACAGACTGAAGAAAGTGTGTGTGTGTCTTGCTATAATGCATATGTGGGTTGTGCATGTCAGTATGTGTGCAGTATTTTTGGAGTTCTTTGATGTTAACAATGCCGCTATGCCACTGTTTTGTCACCAAAGCAAGACATTATATCCTTTCTGCAGGGACTTTCTTTTCTCAGTGTGTGTGAGTGTGTGTGTGTGTCTGTGTGTACCCCTCCCTTATGCTGTACATGTGTGTATTCATATTTGTGTTTATTTGTGTGCATGAGGCAATACATGTAATATGTGCGTGCACTACGAGAGCATGACGTACCCCATAATTTTTCCGTTATCAACTAAGCTCAATGTGACAGACTGTTTATTTTAGGCTGGAAGCTTTTGGAGAAACCGGTCACTGTACTTTGCACGTATGTTTCTCCCTCTCTGAATCTCTCAGGCTTTGTCTTCAGTTTTTTCTCTCAGTCACTCATTCATCTTAACCTTTCATTCTCTTAAACTCTCCTTCACGCACTTATGTTTTTGCTCTGACTCGGCCTCTGCTGAGGAAGCAGCAATTCTTGCTCTTGTCAAGTGGACTCTCAGCAGCCAAATTATCGTTTAGAGTACAGCAGTAGTAAATCTAGACAAAAGCAATGCATCCCCATAAACCCCAGCAAGAAAAAGAGCTAACCAAATACAGCCCGGGTTTATGGCCTTTTTGGCTTGTGACTCTAAAAGAAAGGGATGCGTGCAGGCGACTCCCTAAAGTGGTCAAGCCTGCGTGGTTAACAGCAACACCAAACTATGAGTTTGCTGAACTTGAGTGACATTAAGATTGAATAGAAACTATGAGAGAGAGAGAAATAAATTGTGGCAGACAGAAAACAAAGCAATATAAACTAGAGAACAGACACTACTCCCACAGATTTCAACAAAATCTAATCAGGCTGGGATACTGAGTGCAAAAATGGTTAGAAAGTGTTATAAGCAGGAGAACAGGGGTTGATGTTAAAGTGAAGATGGATTTAAAGCTAAAAGACAGATGGAAGAGACCTAAAAACACATCTAGAAATGGTGAAAAAGAAAAAGTGAGGTAGAAAGGTAGAGAAAATGACAAAAATACTAACATTGACATAAAATTGAGCCTGATTGAGTTCAAGAACTGAAGTGCTGATGAGACAGAGGAGCCTGTATCGTGAATCATTCAGACAGAATTCCC